TGCTGCTTGCATGTGACTCGGTGTGCTGTGTCAAGGTTCAGCAAGAAAGGTTGCTAGGAACAAATAACTTGCAAATTGATACAATAGGAAGAGTTGCCAGGTCTAGGCTGGGAGACTTCATCTTCAGGAAGAAGTGACAGACTGACTCATTAACCAAAGTGTGATGTTCTTCCAGTCCTTCCTCCTTTACAGTTAAATGCTCCAGAGTTTAAGAATAATCCACAACCAAAGGTGTAATTGATGGTTAGTGTTACACATCTCGTATATCATGAATAGGTACAGTATCTACAGATAATTACTACCAGTCTTGTATGAGCTGTGGACTTTAAGGTGCAGACAGACAGAAAGACAGACAGACAGACAGACAGACAGACAGACAGACAGACAGACAAGGATGAGTGAGTGAGGGATGTGTGGGTGCCTGTTGACATTACCAAAGCAAGAGGGTGGGTGAAGTGGGGGGGTCGTTTTCTCTCTTGGAAAGCCTCTGTTTTTCAGCATTTATATGTCGTCCATGTCTGTCTATATGTGCATGTCTGTGTGCATGTGATTCTTTGTTTACTGCTAGTTAAATCATGTAATTGATTTCATTTACCACATGCCACATCCTTCTTTTAGTTTGGTTTATATATTTTTTATTCTCCCCATATACATTGATCCCTTTATTTACTTTTTAAACATTGAACACTCTTTATCATGTAGGTGATATGAAAATGTTACAAACTATAATAAAGAAAGATTTGGAATTTGAAGCCTGTAGTTGTCTTTATTAAGTATGGCCATGTAGGGTTGTGCTAGTTGATGTATTTACTTAGAAGGGAATAGAGGAAAAGAGACAAGGAAAAGATGGAAGCAAACAGTTAAAAAGATTGATTGGGAAATACATTACTAATGCAGAAGAGTGTGATTATTAGATGAGGCGAGATTTGATTTGTTTTTATTTATTCAAGTTTGTCTTTGGAATTATACAAACCACCATGTAAATATTGAAAACCCCCTTTGGACCGACCCTAAGACTCACCCTGGCATTACCACCCTTAGGACCTCATGGTGGGCGATGAAGCCAGCAAGCTCCGATCCATGCTGGAGGTGACGTACCCCATGGAGAACGGCATCGTCAAGAACTGGGAAGACATGTGCCACGTCTGGGATTACACCTTTGGCCCGGAGAAGATGGGCATCAACCCCAGGGACTGCAAGATCATGCTGACGGAACCCCCGATGAACCCCACCAAGAACCGTGAGAGGATGCTGGAGGTGAGACCGCGGTGATCGGCAGAGGGAGGTGCCAGGCCTCTCTTTTGTTGTTGTTTGGGGACTGATTTAGGGAAAGGGGTATCGGGTAGTTTAGTGTACTGTGTTGTTTGTGAATTTTGGTTTCCTTAACCCTATGCCAAGGGGTATCTGAAATCTCTGAGCATCATAAACTCTGATGATTTCTAGCAATGTCCAGATACCGGGTGCATGAGTCCGCTACTTGTTGCGGAACTTCCCGCTCCATGCGCTCTGGCGTGTCCCCATGTGTACAGTTGTACCCTGCAGACTAAGTGGTCTGTTATGATGCTTGTACACATGACCCAGCAGGAATGGGTTAAGAAGACCTTGCTCCACTCATTTGATCTTAGAAAGATAATGGTTTTAGATAACCAGTTGATGTTATTTGCATGTTATATAGTATATAATTATGCTTTGTTTCATATATAATTTAATTGGTGCACACCTCTACAAAAATTTAAAAATTTCCATTTTTTCTGATATTGGTATAAAAGTTTTCTTTGGACATTTACAAATTCATATCTATGTGCCATGTCAATATCAAATGCCATATACAAGATATGCAAAAAGCAGACGTCTGTACAGGTGTACCTTTCGCTAATGATCTTTTGGGGCTTATGCCCTTGCGCCTCCCAAGAAATAACTCGGTTTTGGCTCTAACAGTCGTTTGGTAGTTTCCTCATTCTTGTGTTTTATATTCTTCAACTTGGCCTTTAACGAGAGTACATATATATACAGTTTACATATTCCTATTCATATATAATCTTTCTTGTCTTTGTTCAGGTAATGTTTGAAACGTACGGGTTTGCTGGAGCTTTCGTGGCCATCCAGGCTGTGCTGACCCTATATGCACAAGGTCTTCAGTCAGGTGTCGTGGTGGACTCAGGCGATGGCGTCACCCACATCTGTCCTGTGTATGAAGGATTCACACTCCCACAAATCAGGTAGGGGTGGCTTTTTTAGTAAGGTTGTTGTCTTTTTTTTAATGGTCTATCCTGTTTGACTTTTATTTGTTTGCATTTCCCCATGTGGCTAAGAGAAATAGTGTTGGAATAATGTTTTTGTGTCATTTTGGTCTTGGTAGTTTTGACAGTTTGAGTATAATACCAGGATTCTTTTTGGTAAACTGTTTTCACACGAGCCTTTGACTGTCCACAGGCGGTTAGATATTGCCGGTCGTGACATCACAGTTTACATGATCAAGTTGCTGTTGCTGAGAGGGTATGCGTTCAACCACTCGGCCGACTTCGAGACGGTGAGAATGATGAAGGAGAAGCTGTGTTATGTCGGCTACAACATTGAACAGGAACAGAAACTGGCAACGGAAACTACCGTCTTAGTGGAGAATTACCAGCTGCCAGATGGTCGTATCATTAAGGTGAGATTTGCATTATCTTTTATATGTAGAGAAATTGTACAGAAATTGAATTGGAGTGAAGGTGGACTTCTCTTGCTGCTGAGATCACTCATGCATGGAAAGTCATACATACAAAACACTCTCAATGCACACCCATATTTACGCTCATCACTACCCTCATCCCTACCCCCATCCCTACCCCTATCCCTACCCCTATCCCTACCCTTATCCCTACCCTTATCCCTACCCCTATACCCTTATCCCTACCCCTATCCCTACCCCTATCCCTACCCCTATCCCTACCCCTATCCCTACCCCTATCCCTACCCCTATCCCTACCCTTATCCCTACCCTTATCCCTACCCTTATCCCTACCCTTATCCCTACCCCTATCCCTACCCCTATCCCTACCCCTATCCCTACCCTTATCCCTACCCTTATCCCTACCCCTATCCCTACCCTTATCCCTACCCTTATCCCTACCCTTATCCCTACCCTTATCCCTACCCTTATCCCTACCCTTATCCCTACCCTTATCCCTACCCTTATCCCTACCCTTATCCCTACCCTTATCCCTACCCTTATCCCTACCCTTATCCCTACCCTTATCCCTACCCTTATCCCTACCCTTATCCCTACCCTTATCCCTACCCCTATCCCTACCCCTATCCCTACCCCTATCCCTACCCTTATCCCTACCCTTATCCCTACCCTTATCCCTACCCCTATCCCTACCCCTATCCCTACCCCTATGCCACCCCTACCTTTACCCCTACCCCTACCTCCACCCTAACCAAAAAATTAACGTTAATGCATTTGTTTCTACTTGAAGGTTGGTGGTGAGAGGTTTGAAGCACCAGAGGCGTTGTTCCAACCTCACCTCATCAACGTGGAAGGCCAAGGTATTGCGGAACTGCTCTTCGACACCATACAGCGCTGCGACATTGACATCCGACCCGAGCTCTACAAGCACATCGTTTTGTCTGGAGGGTCTACCATGTATCCCGGCCTACCGTCGCGCCTGGAGAGGGAGTTAAAGCAGCTTTACCTGGAGAGAGTCTTAAAGGTAGGGGGATTTTGTTTGCCATTGGGGTGTGGATATGATATGGTTCTGCAGTGTCTTGTATTGTGGTTTCTGGAGGAGCAGTAAGGTTTGCGTGTTGCTTTTCTTTTTTGCTTTGTTTTTGCCAAGTTGTTGATAGAAAACCACAAGTAAGGGTAGTACTTACAAGTTTTCCTTGGTTTAATCTATAGTCCTATTTGCCCTAAGGGTGGTTTTCTCCATAATGTACTTCCAGACTTTCTTGCCACTTGACCTGCAAGTCTGTTGCCTGTTTTTTCTCATGACTTTTTCATTATCAATGAGATGTGTGTTGTGGTAATACTTGACAAAGTTCATCCAGCCACACTTACACCCAGAACCAGTCAGTCATGGACTATAGTTAACGTGAATTACTGTTATATCCAGCCAAATGCTCCATCATCTTTTCTTTTCACATTCTCCCCCACACACCTTGCTCTTGTGTAACACAGAGTTATCTCGTGGATTATAATTGCTATTGGTTTACTTTTTATACATCTAGATACATCTAGAAACACAAATATGCATTTTATTGTTTAGTATTATGGAAATATGTCCTTGTTACTTATATTACTTTACTTGCATGTTTATGGTAATTTATCTTCCATTTTCATTCATTCTCCAAGGGTATCTTTTGCAGCTTTGCATTCTTTTAATGCTCCATGTACCAGATATATGAGAATGAAATATACTTTTTATATCTAAAATAGAGCTCGTGCAATATCAGGAAACAAAATTTGCCTTTGTGAAACGGAAGATCATTGCTTTTTTGTGCTAGAGAGAACAGACAAGTTGAAGGCACTGTGGTTCATAGGGTTTAATTCAGCTCATAATGCAAACCTTCAATAACATTCCATCGTAACAGGGTGATGTGGAGAGACTGTCCAAGCTAAAGATCCGCATTGAGGACCCCCCAAGGAGGAAGGACATGGTCTTCATCGGAGGGGCTGTCCTCGCCGACGTTATGAAGGACAGAGACAACTTCTGGATCTCAAGAGAGGAATATCAGGAGAAGGGTGTCCAAGCTGCATTAGAGAAACTCATGCCTGGCGGAGCTTCATAAGAGCAGCCGGGTTAGAGGAAGAGATCGATCAGTAGTTGTTGCTGATATTGTGGTTATCTTGATGTCTCCATGACACTGTTGAATTTACTTGATGTCTAAGGCTCAGGCTGGGGTTTTTATCTTAGGTGGCCAATGGAAGCATAAGAAAATGTCAGTTATATTTTATATGGTTGTCTTAACGGTCTATGTATTTTCAGCCAATGCCTTAGTAGCGAGGATGGATGTGGAAAGCTTCATTTTTTAAAATATGGAAACAAATACTGTTGCTCTAGCGGGTTTCAACTGTTGTTATGAAATGCCAAGTATTGTTTAAAGATATTGCTGTCATTTCCCTCAAGTTACAGCTCTTCCATCAGTATGGGTATTGCAGTTGAAATATTTGCTGCCTATTGTTTAAATATAAAGTTGTTTTATCTTGCCATAGAAAAGATCCTACCGCAGCATTTTTTTTTCTCTCTCCCTCATTATTACTTAGATAGCAAATTCTTCTATTAATCCGTAGTTTCATTTTATCCATCCTGACACTAAGGCTCAGGCCAGGACTATGTGTATTGCCCCTGCGGATGCCTACCCAACGAGTCCCCAACATTTCCCTGATTGTTTGCGACCGTGTTCCAGAACGGGCACCGTAGACAGCCTATTGATTTCCGGGATGCCATTTATAATGGTGATTCTTGTTGATGCCCATGTGATTAGCGATTTAGTCATAAGTTATTCGTAATCCCCCAGAAGAAGGAGGGAGTTTTGCCATACAAAGTCATAGCACCAACAAAGCACAAGTCGTGAGAGTGAACTTTGGAGAAGGACGTGTAGTGAGCGGTGTTTAAGATGATAAAAAGTCTCGCGTCTTCATTTACTCCAGTATTGACTCCCTTTCCGTATGAGAAAAGAATCATAATCGTAAATAAAAATGGAACGTATTTGGAATTCCGATGGATGGTGCTCATGGAAGGAGAATGCCAATGTGCGTTTTAGGGAGAGGGGCTTTGGATCGAGATGCAAGAAGAGTTTGTTCAAAACATTTGTGCATTTGTTATGTCAGTGATGAATCCAGTGAGGAAAATTACCCCAAATGTTTCTCCAGTTCCTAGCAAGGTACCCGGGTGAATTTGAATGGATCAGAATGTTGATTTTCTTGTGTTTGAAATTCAAGAGTTATTATGTTGCTTTTTTCAGCAGGTCAAATTTGGTTTATTAGTGTATGGTTTATTCAGCTTTAGCACTTTTTTTTCTTTTCTTTTCTTTTCTTCATTTCTTTGGTTCTTTCCACAGTGTGTATTTTTTAGTGTATGATTGTGAATATGTACACACACACACCCACACACACACACACACACACATACATACATACATACAAATTCACATTCACATAAACATACAAATACATATACATACACACACATAATCCTGCACAAATTAAAACACAAGCAAACACACACACCCACATCATAAACAGAAAATACATGTCACATAACTAAAGAAAAAAGTAATCTGTTAATATTTTTATAAATAAAAAGTTATACTTCACATAGTGCAGACATTGATCCCTCTGAAGGTTAAAGTAGAAAGTTATAGTATTAAATGATATTATGTGTACAGTACGCCAGATTAAGATTATCATTAAAAGTAACTGCAGTTGTGCATTGTACTGACAACTAACCACATGCAGTATTTGCTTACGTACTACTTAAATAGGTAAACAGTTAGCCAGGAAAAAGAACTCTCGAGAACAGAGTATAATTTATAGTGCAATAAGGAAGTCAGACATTGCAAGGTAAAAAAAAAAGCCGTTGCAGTTGGGTGATCCAGTAAAAATATTCCTTCCATGCCTTCCGGCTTGGTTGCAAATGTAGGCCGATCACCACGATAACTGTTACGATGATGCGCTGTGCATTGTAACCCTTGTTTTCTAAACATTGACTTGGCAGAGGTTCCTTAATTTTACTGGATGTGTGTATGTCTGTGTAAAGTCCCAGGAGAGGGAGAGGTATCGCCTCTGCGCTCAAAGTCTGTTGTTCCAGAACATAACCTTAAATGCATATCATGAACATATTGCATCTATATTTTGGTAATTCATTGATTGTTTGTTCATGTTTAAGGCATTTAGGGTTAAACCATTAAAAAAATCTGTCGGGTGAATAAACAAACAAACAAAAAAGAAAAATACACAAACATATTGCCTATTTAAAAGAGCATTTGAGAGAAAAGGTAATGTTAGTACTTTTGTATTTATTTGTTTATCAGTGTGTAAGTATATGTATTTGCATATATATATATATATATATATATATATATATATATATATATATATATATATATATATATATATATATATATATATATATATATATATATAATGTATGAATAAATACATTTTTCTTCCCCATATAAGTTGGAGTAATTGATTTTTTATGCCAGAAAAATTGTTTGAGAATCACAACAGCTCAAAGTTTTTCATTTCCTTCTTTATTCAGAGGTAGATTATCAGATGTCCATTGTTATCAGTTTGTATTGTGTGTAAAGATAAACAGTGGATGTTGCATTCCAATTTTCGTGCAGTATTTATGATACTTTCATATACACGAGTGATTATTTTTAGGCGATGTGTTAAAAGGCTTGGTAATATACAGCTTCGAAAATAATCTACTTCCTGTTGTGTAATAAATTATAAGGTTTGATTGTTAACTGAACTTGTATGTGATTAATAAATGAAAGTAATCCAAACTTGTGCCTTTTATTTGTATCAGATATTTTTTGTTTATTGGTTAAGTATTACAGTTTAGTATTTAATTATTTATTTACTTACTGTGGAATAGTGGTATTCAGACATAATTTTTGTAACTAATATAGTTCATTTTCCATCCGAATAATAGCATGTGAATAGACAAACATAGTGAAAATGATAAACTGTATTTTATTATTACAAGGCGTAAAGAAAAAAAGGTCTACACTGAAAAATCAAAATATTCAGCATGGAAACGACCAAAGAAACAGACATGTGTCATAGTGCGGTTTGTGAATAATCTTTTACGCCCTAATAAACCATTCTAAATATTAAGATTTTATGACTATTACAAATACTTTCAATTAAAATGAATTTTTTTCACATCAAGCCTGGTATAATCCGAGATGTTTTTTTAGTTGATGAATTCCATTAATTTTCTCATGTGTCAAGTATCTGTTACCAGCTTATTTAAATTGCAAATTCACTTGTCATGTTAACCATTTGTTGCAAATAAAGTACTGGTGGTGAAAGTTTTCTTTTAGGCCAAAGGTTTGTACTGAATAGACTCCATATGTTATTTCAACAAAGACTGCTCACTGAAACCCCTTTCACTACAGTACTTTACCATAGTGCTATATGGCCTTTGGTGTCTAGCACATTTATTTGTATAAACCATTAACCATTAACACAGACTGAATTGAAAGGGTATGAATGAAAATGGACAATTTCATAATACAAGGCATTTCATCATTAACATTTTGGTATTTCTCTCCAGAATTAGAAGTCTAAAAGCAAACTTTGAGATGTTTGGTAAATATGTATCTCTTCATTTCTATTTGATTATACACTTCATGGGTGTGTAGGTTATTTTGGCATCTTGTATGAAATGGCTGGATCTGTGGTTCTGAAGCCTTGTGTCAGGTAATATGTTCCAGTTGTATATGTCTCAAATTTTTTTTTTTTCTGAAACGTAGGGAAAATGTGGTGTCTGAAAATGTGATTAGAGAGATGAATATAAAGTTTATTAATTATAATAAGGACAATAATGATGATAGGGAAATGAGGGCGTGATCTCATCTGTTCCACCTAACTTACAGGTGCAAGTTTCCCATTAATTAATGAGAAGGCATTGTGCAATAATTCACATAAATTTGTATAATATATATCTGAATGAATAATTGGACTAAAAAAATTGGTGTGTCGCAAAAAAAATTATTAAACAATTTTTAGTGTCTTGTTGCAAGAATGTTTAAATGCGGCTTAGGTTAAGAAGACTGTAATAGTGTTCAGTGATAGGTGTGGACATGTATGCTAATGACATCAGTACCGGTAAAATGGCCGAGATATCAAAGTGTGGGTCACAAACGAAGGCGCTTTAGAATCCATGTTTCATCGGTAATAATTCCGGAATGTCGGTGGGGTAAAATGAATTAATAATTCTCAGTTTCGTTGAATTTATACTGCACAAAAGACATTGTTCTCTGTAGATCGCAGTTTGTTGTGCTGGTTTGTCTGTTAGATTACATTCATATTCTATAGATAAAAGCTTTTCAATCGGTAGCTTACGGGCCAGTTCTTGTGTGGTTATCCATTAGCCATTTAATACATTGAGAAAAGATTAAATAAACTAATGACATATTCAACTCCTTGCCAGATTTTACACAAACAGATTTTTATCATGACTGGTATTAGCTAAATGAAACGTATGATCAACTATAATTATTACTTAATTATCAAACACGCGACCCGTCACACTCCAATGTGCGGCCCGTTGCTATTTCAGTCTTGCAGTCGGCTGTTTCAAAGGATTATTTAGACCAGTCCTTTTGAGACTATCACTTCAGGCGTAATTCGTGGTCCGCGGGCCAAATATCGCCCTAGAGATGATCATAAATGACTGAAAATTCATAAATGACCTTTTTATAATGATATGTACATGTATAGGATGTCATGCGAAAGTAAACCTCTGATAACTGGATACTTCTTTAAAACTGCACAATAAAATGTGGCAATATATGACTAGGGCATGTGTGTGTGTGTGTGTGTGTGTGTGTGTGTGTGTGTGTGTGTGTGTGTGTGTGTGTGTGTGTGTGTGTGTGTGTGTGTGTATGTGTGTGTGTGTGTGTGTGTGTGTGTATGTGTGTGTATGTGTGTGTGTGTGTGTGTGTGTGTGTGTGTGTGTGTGTGTGTGTGTGTGTGTGTGTGTGTGTGTGTGTGAGTATATATATATATATATATATATATATATATATATATATAAAATGTATGTATCTTTGTATGTAGTACTCTTTGTTACCAATGAAAATTTCAAAAGTAAAATAAATTTTACATACAGGTGCGTAATATAACGTAAATTTTAACAACACACTCCTGAGAAACCAGGTATATACCTTCGTTGCCTTCATACTGGTTGCTGAAATTAGACTTGTCCTTCGAAGAGTTTTAAGTTTGAACCACTGGTTTAGAGCGTCGCGACGTCTCACAAGATAATAAACAAAACAGAATGAAATAAAATGAATAGTGTTAAAAGACTGATAAAAAACATGCATTCATTTACTTCGTTTTTAAACAGATCCTATTGCAGTTTTACATCTTTTATGGTTGAAATATACATTTACTGCAGACTTTTACCTCCTTTTTTTTTTTATAATTCTCACATATTCACGTTCATTATACAAAGGCATGAAGTATGGATATCACTTTTTTCACGCCGCATAGACCCAAGTGTAAACACAACTGACACGTGTCTTAGTATTCAAGAAGGTCGTGAGGTTAGTACGTGAAACTGAGCCGAGTCGCGATGAAAAACGGTTTGAATGACAGTGCAAGTCTATAGGAGTTTGATAAGTTGATGGCAATATGTGTCGCAAACAGAATTCACAAAGCTCACGGTGGATATCAACATGTCTTGAGGCGAAGTGAGGCAACTTAGCATGCAGTTATAATATTCTATCTGCAGGAGCGTGTCACGGGAGCGTGTTATATATTTTTTTCCTTCTGCATGTTCCTTCACTAAAGCGAACGACCGGGGGTGTATTGGCATCAGTGTCCGCTTAAGGATGGTTTGTGGTTCATAAACTGCCATGGATGATTTCTTGCGCCAAATTGCCCAGCGTTTGTGATGTCGGCGTATCGGGTGAGGCGGATGACCTTTCAGTAAATCTGTGTTGTTTATAGTGTTTACTTGTTTATTAATCTACTTAACTGTAATTATATTAATTGTTAATTATTTTTGCTACTGAGGCTGGCAAAAGGGGTAGAATATAGAGAGCAGCGCCTTCTTATTCAAATGTACCTTCTTGAGTGAGTAAACCATATTTAATCAAAGAAGTGCCAGAGAATATTTCTATAACGCCGATGTACTTAATCACCCGCCTTTTCCGCCAGTGACTTCGGCGTCTCTCCCTTTAAAAATCACGACGTCAGCCTGAATTAGAATGCGGTCTCTCTCAATCATACCTATATCTCGTAGCTATCGATTCGTTTTTAACTAAATATAATTCGTTTATAAGCGGACAAAGAATACGACAGATGACAAAGAACAAGAAAGGCAGCAATTACATCACTTGCGTCCGACATGTTGCGACTTTTATTTGCCTTTTTTATGACAATTTTCTCTTCACTCACAATAGGAAATGTCATCGAATACATCACGTGACTGGCGACGTCCTTAGAAACGCACACAGAATAGAATATCGTTGCGTTAATGAGCCTGAATATTTGGGACAGTAACGTCATTTCCGGGGCAAGTCAGTCGGAAAACGAGGGAAGCCATGTTGCCTAAAAAAATCGTACAATAAAGTCGATTATAAGAGATCTAAATTTAATGTTCTGTAATTACAACACCATGTTTCTTTTTTCTCTATCAATATTTATGACTTTTAGATAACTTTGTATGATTTAGTGCACTATCTTACGGTCTTACGGTTTATTCAGTAGTTCTTCACAATCACCTTTGAAATCCGACGCGTCCGTGACTCACTTTTCCGAACAGTCATAGTTCCTTTCACTTTCTCATCTCTCAGTATACGTATAGACAGGCCTTTCTTTTATAGGTCTGTGATTTATGTGCAGGTAAAGTTGGTGTTTTTTTTCTGTTCGTACTCTGCTTCTACGGTACAAGGGTCGTTGCTTTGTTGTGTACATTTCTGGTCCAATTTACCTTACCATAGCTGTCATTTTTTTATGGTATCGATTTATGTCATCCCCTCCCCCCCCTTGCAATGTTTTGTGAATTGTGGCTGGAATTAGATATTGTAATTTAGTCTACCAGTCCGTACAATACTGTTCCTTGGTCCTTGTAATATTCTTTCGAGAAAGATGTATATCATAATCATGTCTCCTAAACTCACAGCATTTGGTTTCCACTTCCTTTCAAATAAAGATACGGTCGTTAGTGCATTATGTTTGGCTCGATCGTAAAGAATATCCGTTCTTTCGTCAGTCAGCGGAAAACATTTCGGCATATCTCTGTACCGAACCTGTCATGCACCAATCCGCGAAACTGTCATGCATAAATTTAAATCGGCCAACAGTCAGATTAGAATTAATCCTCTTAAAGATGCCGAAAAGGGGATCTGTAGCACACTATATACAAAGCGGGGGTGGGGTGGGGTGGGGGTCTCGTTGCAAGGATCCGTGTGGTTGCGCAAGAGGAGGACATCGCGGAAGATTTCGTGTCTGATGAGGCAAACGCGGTCACTTCCTTTCTTCTCCTTCTCCTCCTCCTTCTTCTTCTTCTTTCTTCTTCTTCTTCTTCTTCTTCTTCTTCTTCTTCTTCTTCTTCTTCTTCTTCTTCTTCTTCTTCTTCTTCTTCTTCTTCTTCTTCTTCTTCTTCTTCTTCTTCTTCTTCTCCTTCTCCTTCTCCTTCTCCTTCTCCTTCTCCTTCTTCTTCTCCTTCCTCATCCTCCTCCTCCTCTACTTTATTTTTGTACTACTGTTGAAGTCAGAATTTGGTATCTCGTTAAATGACTACGAGGAGGAAATAGTTCACGTGAAA